CGTCAATGTGGTGCTTACCAAAGTTGCCCTCGTCGGTGTAGAACCTAACGGCAAAGCCGTGAACATCTCGGGCAGTATCGGCGGAGCCACGGCTTCCCGCAACAGTAGAGAATCGAATGAACACTGGCGTTTCCTTCTCAGAATTGGCAAGGAACGAGGCTCCGGTAATGTTAGACCAGTCACCAAATGACTTGAATGTTCCGTGAGCACCGGCACCACGGGCGTGCACGGCCCGCTCAGGAACACGCTCGTGATCTAAACATCTCGGTTAGTAAATCGTCAGATACGGAGATTTTTAGTGCTCTTACCAAAGCTCATGATTTTCCGGCGGAGAATTTGATCTTCGAGCAGTGATGGACCTCGCTCACCAGCCGAGAGGCTCTCTTGGTCCGGTTGGGGCCCTCCTACAGGACTGGTGAGGTAGGCTTTGCTGTCGTCAATCTCATACTGCTTCATGAAGTCATCGGTTGACATGGCAGTGGCACCATCGCGTCGGGCGATTGGTTGATCACCCATCAAGGGGCAACCAGCGTGAGCGACATGGCAAATAGCAGCAAATGCTGTCAAAACATTAGACCGAACCATCTTGAAAGTTGCTTGGGGCGACGTGAGATGATCTGGAAGAGAAGATGGCGTTGTCCCTTTATACCGCCTCCGGGATCTCATCGTCAGCCAAAAAGCATCGGACGGTTAACCCGAGCTTCAACGTCGTGCTAGTTTAGATCCTGGCAACCGGCAGTCCTGAATGACCGAATAACATGATGGCAATTTCCCCAGATGAATGTGGTCATCTGTGCTAGCAGATCCCGAGCTGGTGGATAGGTTTACTACTGGTAGGACGTGTACTCACAATAGGTCTGGGGTAAGGATTAGCATTATCGGACCTCTGAGTGGACTGAGTTTATGCTACATGTGTGTAAGTATGTAACTGACACGCATCTGTTACCTTAATTAGGCATAGGGTCGGCCATGAAACTAGCACGAGAGATGGCGATTGTTGATGATCGCTGGGTCTAGGAGAGATAACGTTTTTGTTTTCTGCATGTACACTGTGCTTGCCACGCATGCGGAGACCTTTCACAAAACACACACTGGGATATTTCCTTTTTTGCTCAACACACGGCTGGAGGCCCCGCGCCTCTGGACGGAAACATCGAATCAGCGCAGTGTGATATGAAAGCAGTTGCAACGCCAAGGGTGTGTGCTGATCATGTCACCGTGCCTCGAGGCCAAGCAAATAGTGGAACTGGATCCTGGCTTACAAAGTTTACTAAAAGCGATGCGTTCGAGAAGCTGGTTGCGAGGTCGCTAAGCCTTAGCGGTGGGCATCGCAGTACTGCACAACTCTAACGCCGGGCAAACCTTGCGGTTCACATACATATGTTGAGCGATTTGGCGAAGCGCAATATTGTTCTTTGGAATTGAGACGACTTGATTGCATGACGCGGTCGCCGGCTCGGTTGAGGCATCGGCATGTGGAACGTCCATCCATGTACCGCGTCCAGAGGACAGAAAAAAAGTACTTACCGCTGCTGACCAAAAGCCTAGGGCCAGATGCTTCAAGAGTGGCATGGTTTTGCATGTAGACGAGGGACGTGTTGATCCTGGTCATCTCATCGACTAGGATGGGCATGTATTGGCAATGTATAGAATGTTCCTTACCCCATTGATGCCTCGAAACAAATAGAGGTCTTGGAGAAGATACCAAGAAAGATGAGCCTGTACGCCGGAGTAACGGGCACGAGAAGTCCGCACAGATGGGCAAGTGTCGTATGGCGTGGTATAGATGAATATGCAGCCGAAATCAGGGCCGCAGCATGCAGCCTTGCCGCACGGAGGTTGGGCTTGGCGTTTATAGTGACGGGTGCGCTCCACTCTGCTCATTGGCGGACCAGGGTTGTTGCATGCACGTTGGCTTTCCGCTTGTGGACGCGGCACAGTGCTCGGTAAACACAAAAGGCTTTAGTTGTTCTGTTAACACCTACTCGTTTAGGCTGCCGTGGTAAGAGTACACCAGGTAAGAGCGGGATTTCCTTAGCCCAGCGCGGAATTTTATGTCCCCCCCCCTGGCCCCCCTGGAGGCGACAACGGCCTAGGGCGCTTGCGGGAGCGCAGTAAGTGAAGCGATTGGCCCGTCTAAAGAAATGCCGGCTCGGAGTTGTGGCTGCAGTCGTACGGCACCTTGTACTTATGGATCGGACCGTTCGACATCAGGTGACATGAAGGAGCACCAGCAGCGGCCTCATAGTTTGCATAACAGTGCCTACCAGGTTCTGTGGGGGGCGTTTGTCCTGTGTATATTGTGCGCTGACAAAACCAGTCTACCTGATACCTTACAGGTTCGTATCTCGACTCATGGATTCTGCGTATCTTAGTAAGTACTTACATGGCAGAAACACGCTCCATTTTACTGGCCCTCCGCTGGATTGCGACCGAGATTATGAGTTACGCAATTACCGTATCTCGCCGTACGCAGGGCCTCGACTACCCCAGAATTCGCGGTCGCAAATATATCGTGCTGTCACTCGAGTACGACCGGCACTTGGAGCGGCACCCGTGGCTCGACCGGGATAGCCGTTCATATCATGGCGCCATGGCCGTCAGTGCTTTCGACTTTGCTTTACAGCTTTTCGCGTCAACTGCCGTGTGCTACTTGTCCGGCTGCTTACTTACACCTCGACATCTAGCCATGTAACTATGTAGGTATGCATGTACTTATGTGCCTTGCGCACCAAACTTTGCTGCGCGCCTCCGCGGACGGTGTGCCCGATGGATAGACGGCAAGCAAGACGCTTCGGTTTATGCCTGCAGTGTTATCAGAAAGTCCAAGACTGATATTTCTTGCCGCCCATAGCCTGCGACCTATAGCCATCAGAGGCGGATCACTCGGCACCCAAAGGAAGCGGCGACAGGCTGTGCGTGTAACCTGCGCGCCTTCCGCTTGACACGACTATGACATCACCGTGTCTGGCGCGACTTCCCCAATCACCCCCCCCCCCCCCCCTCCCCCCACCAGACCCAAGCTCATGCAGTAATTCACTCCCCACCAGCACCCCCATTGCAGTATCCTCGCATCTCAACCTGCCCTGGACGCCTCATACAAGCTGTTGCTCCGCAGTATCACTCCGTAATTTGTTCTGTCCCCGGTCAAGCCTGCTTGGGCAACTTGCCTACTTTCTTGCGGCATCAGCACAACCTAGCAGTTTAAACGTATCCAGAAGATAACTGTACACATACGCCACACCATCTACCTGTTGTTTAGTGAAACTCTGACACCATGTAAGTCCGGCCTCTTGGCTTAATTTCGCATTGCATCTCTACAATTCCAAAAATAGAGCATCTGCCACTGATTGCTCCTCGGAATCTGTTATGCAAGAGAGTGCCTTGCCAAGGGCAAAGTTTCAGCAGGATTGCATGCCAACAATCAACCCTTGTTGCCTTCTTAATTTCGTGTTTTACAGCCGTGGCTAACCACCATGTTCTGTTCAGGAATCGATCGCTCTCAGTACGCTCCAAGAAGGGTAGCGGCAGCGGCGAGAAGTCCGCCCCCAAGCACCGCTTTACCATGGCATCTCTCCGGGGCACGCAACAGCCAGAGCTTTCGAAGAAGCTGTTCAAGATCATCAAGACCGAAAATCATGCCATTGCGGCTCATGAGGCTGCTGGGCGCGAACGAATCAGTATCGCTCAGCAGCTGTCTGAATGGGGTGAGGCTACGGAGGACGAGACTATTTCGGATATTTCCGACAAACTCGGAGTATTGCTTGCGGAAATTGGGGAACAGGAGGATGTCTTCGCACAATCGTTAGAGGATTACCGTAGTATCCTCAAGCAGATCCGCAATACCGAGAGTTCAGTGCAGCCCAGCCGAGACCACAAGGCCAAGGCATGTTCTAGCGTTCTCGTTGGCTCGCAATGTTCTAATCAGCTTTCTAGGTCTCTGATGAAATCGCAAAGCTGAAGTACAAGGAACCACAGAGTACCAAAATAGTTCAGCTCGAACAGGAGCTTGTCCGTGCAGAGGCCCAGAGTTTGGTGGCCGAAGCACAGCTCAACAATATTGTATGGCGATTTCTTTGCAACAAATACCTCTTGCTGACTCTTGCAGACCCGTCAAAAGTTCAAGGAGGCTTATGACCTCCACTTTGCAGCCACCATTGAGCGGGCAGAGAAGCAGATAATCCTGGCGAAGCACGCTCGTCGTCTCTTGAACTTGGTCGATGATACTCCAATAGTACCAGGAGATGCACACCCCGCATTTGCTGAGGGAGAAACAGCGCGTCAGGTTCTGAATGACGCTGAAGACGATCTCCGCCGCTACCAGTTAGAGGTTGAACCCATCCACTCGAATGCAGGCAACCTCGGAATAGGTGCGATGCCAGGAACTGCGGCGGCGGGAGCCTTTGTTCCAGAGTCTGCCACCAATGAGGGTACAACGAGGAGCGAGAGTCCAGTTGGTGTGCAGTACGACAAAGCTGGATCGGCTGCTTATCCACTGGAAGAAGCAGACAGGGTCAGCGCTCAGCATCAACAGACTCCTAGACAAGAAGTTGCTAACGTGGCTTAATCATGGAGGACGGCTGTGTGCGAAAGTCTTAATGTTTTAATGAGTAATAACGATCTGATGTTTTAGTCAAATGTGTCTCCTACCATCGTCGTTGAGTCCGTTCTCGTGTCGACACGTATTTAGAAGTGAGATATGTGTTGCCTGGAATAATGTAAGGGTGTCTCAGAGTAACAGGAAAAAGTTTGGCTAAGTGGATGCCTGACGGTTAAGAAAAGAGTGTTCCACACTTTGTCCCACCTAGTAGTATATCGTGGTATACACGGGTCTGTGCACATTTTGGTGGGGGTCCCTTAGCGCGGAATGTGCCGTTCCCCAAGAAGACACATCGAGCTATAACCTCACCTCTAAATTCACGCCCAAGTCCGCCAGTCCTGCCATTCTTCCAGCCCCAACTCGCACCTCTTCCGATTTCAAACTCCCGCTGACGTTCGACATGGCGGACCGCAAGAAGAGAGACCGCTATGCAGCAGGAACGGGATACCAATTCGGTGCGAATACACAAGAGGCCGCAGCCGCAGCCCCCCCTCCAGTAGCACCAGGCTATGGTGCGCCCGCGCCCATGTACGGGGCACCATCACCAGGATATGGTGCACCTGCTGCTGCGCCTGGATATGGTGCACCGTCTCCCGGATATGGAGCGCCTGCACCATATGGACAGCCTGCGCCTCAAGACCCAAATGCCCTCAACCAGCAGTTTGGACAGATGAACTTGGGTCCAGGACAGGTAGCCCCTCAAGCCCAGCAACCCACAGCAGCTACTCAGCAGAATCAACTGTTTCCCTCGGATCTCATTGCTCAGCCCTTCCACGTCTCAGAGTTGTATAACCCCCCTCCACCGATCAACCTACCAGCCAACGCTGCGGCCACGCCCTCCGAGTTTGCGAACGAATCGAGCAAGTATGTGCGGTGTACGCTCAACACTATCCCCACAAACCACAACCTACTCAAGAAGAGCAAATTGCCCTTTGCTTTGGTCATAAGCCCGTACGCTAGTCTACACGATTCTGAAGATCCGATACCCGTAGTGCAGGACCAAATCATCAGCCGTTGTCGACGATGCCGTGCCTACATCAACCCATTTGTTTCATTCCTAGACCATGGCCATAGGTGGAGGTGCAACATGTGCAACCTGACAAACGACGTTCCACAGGCATTCGACTGGGACGCGGCGCAGCAAAAGAGCGTGGATCGCTGGCAGCGACCCGAGCTGAACTATGCCGTCACGGAGTTTGTTGCGCCACAGGAATACATGGTTCGCCCGCCTCAGCCATTGTGTTATTACATCATTCTGGACTGTACCCAGGCTGCAGTCAACAACGGTCTTCTTGCAGTCGTCTCGAGAGTAATCAAGGAGGCTCTTGGCCGGATACCCAATGCCGATGGTAGAACACGCATCGGCTTCATGGCAGTTGACAATGGCCTCCACTTTTTCGGAATCCCTCCGGACAACAGCGAGTCCAATGAGCCCCAACAGCTGGTTGTGTCAGATCTTGACGAGCCCTACCTACCCATGCCTTCAGATCTCCTTGTGAGCCTTAGCCAATGTCGCAATAACATTGAAACTTTCCTGGACCGCCTTCCTGCCATGTTCCAGAACACACACGTTCCTGGGTTCGCTCTGGGATCAGCTCTCCGGTCGGCGCACAAGCTCATCTCCCCGCTTGGAGGAAAGCTTACCGTCATTGCCGCATCTCTGCCCAATGTTGGCCACGCCGCTCTGAGTCCACGAGAAGACAAGTCGCTGTTGGGCACGGGTAAGGAAGGCAGCCTCCTACAGCCAGCCAACAACTGGTACAAGTCCTTCGCCGTAGAATGCTCAAAGAACCAAGTATCGGTGGATATGTTCCTCTTTTCGTCGGCGTATCAGGATGTTGCTACGCTCAGTAACCTTCCTCGATTTACGGCAGGCCAGACGTACTTTTACCCTGGATGGAATGCGGCAAGACAGGAAGATGTTGTCAAGATTGCGACGGAGCTTGCTGATTACCTATCTGCTGAGATTGGTCTTGAGGCTGTGCTCCGTGTGCGTGCTACGACTGGATTGAGGATGTCTGCCTTTTACGGAAACTTCTTTAACCGCTCTTCGGATCTATGTGCTTTCCCAGCCTACCCGAGAGACCAGGCTGTGGTAATTGAAGTTGCGATTGACGAAACGATTTCAAGACCATTTGCCTGTCTCCAGGCGGCGGTGCTGCACACGACTTCGGGTGGCCAGCGGCGCATTCGAGTTTTGACACTTGCGGTACCGACGACGGAGAATCTGGCGACGGTGTATGCGTCGGCAGATGCGCAGGCAATCACGACGTATTTCAGCCACAAGGCGGTTGAGCGAGCGCTGTCGAGTGGTCTGGATGCGGCACGAGATGCGCTGCAGGCAAAGATGATTGAGATTTTGTCAACCTACAGGAAAGAGCTGGCAGGAGGCAGCATGGGCGGTGGTGGTCTGCAATTGCCTCAGAACCTCCGCGCTCTCCCCATCCTATTCCTGGGTCTGATCAAGAATGTTGGTCTTCGCAAGAGCGCCCAAATTCCAAGTGATCTCCGATCAGCAGCGCTGGATCTCTTGTCGACCTTGCCGCTGCGCCTGCTTGTGCAGTACATTTACCCGAGTTTCTACTCTCTGCACGTAAGTCTTTGTCCAAGATCAAGCAGTAAGTCGTTCGGTTAACATGATTTAGGACATGCCGGATGATGCTGGTGTGCCGGAGCCTACGACTGGGCAGATTACGATGCCACCTCAATTGAACTTGTCGAGCGGATTGATTGTGTCGTATGGTCTATACCTCATCGATGACGGAGTCAACCAGTTCCTGTAGGTGATGTGCTAGTGAGAAGGTGGGGCAGAAGAGCTAACGTGAGTAGGTGGATTGGGCGCGATGCTGTCCCGGCACTGTTGGCGGATGTGTTTGGTGTTGAAGACCGTACACAGTTGAAGCAAGGCAAAGCATCACTGCCTATTCTTGACAATGAATACTCTGAGCGAGTGCGAGCAGGTAAGTCAGGGTTGTGGGAAGGAGATTGGGGATGGAATGTTCTAACGTGGAGCAGTGGTGGAGAAGTCGAGAGATCACAAGTCCAAGGGCGTAGGGTCTATTACGCTGCCTACGCTCTACATTGTCAAGGAGGACGGAGAGCCGAGCCTGAAGCTGTGGGCGCAAACATTGCTTGTGGAAGACCGAGCCGACCAGGGCGAGAGTCTTGTTCAATGGATAAGCAAGCTCCGAGAAAAGGTAGGACAGTGATTGTGTGCATGTGTGTAAGTTTGTGTGCAAGGACTGTGCTAACGTATTTTTGTGCTCAGGTTGTTCAGTAAGCACGTATGGGTTAGATGTACGCTCTTGTATTGTATGGCGAAGTGGAAGGAAGGGGATTGGCATGGTGGAGTTGGGGTGGGATAGAAAGGGGATAGGCAACGAGTGTATGAGTTGAAGAATAAAGCAGTGTGATAGCAGCTTGGCCACGGATGATGCATGTGCTTTGCAGTGGGGCATTTTGGGGGGGGGGAGTAGAGGCAAAAAAACAAGTGGCGTGGATGATTTGGAAGCCATAAATGCATTAGAAGACGAGTGTGCAAGGCGAGTAGTTTTTTTTGTTTACACTTTGTACGGCGTGTGCTTGTGTAGTGTAGTGTAGTGTAGCGTAGCGTAGGGGGAGACGTAGTGCAGACAGGGACGGAGGGGGATGGGTTGCGTCACATGGCGGGGTAGTGGTGGGTGGGAGAGGGAAGGTGGAGTGGGCAAGACTAGCGTGTGGGCGGTAGCGGTAGCGGTAGCGGTAGCGGTAGCAGTAAGTAAAGTAAGTAGTAGCGAGTAATGGGGCGGCGTGCGAGGATTGCCCCTCAACACCAAGCGTGGGCCATGCAGCATGCCACCGCCGCTGGCGCCAGCTGGCTTGGCCTGTTTCACGCATCCAGGCGAGTCCCTACCGGCGCACAAGGACTAAGTATCATGGGTTTTCGACGACAAATGCGCGCCACGCGAGTCGAGTTTGTGCTGCAGGACCAGAGTATGACTTGCTTACGCCTACAGGCACTTTTGTCCCGGCCTGCATACGTAAGTAGTATGTGTGTACACATTGCACGTGCAGATACACACACCCACATACATGTATGTATACTATACTTGTCTATACAAACATGTTTCGCCCATATGTGCGAGTGGCAATGGGGATTGGCAACGTGTCAATAGCAATATTGTGTGTGTGTGCATGGGGTTTGCATGGGATTCTGGGGGCCTGTAAGTAAGTCTGGTGGCTTGGGTGGAGTGTGGCAGGGGAGGCGGGGGGGTTAGAGGCAAGAGGGCAAGAGGGCGAGAGGGGGAGGAGAGAAAAAAGTATGGTACAGACGATGGTGAAGAGGCGCAGATGACCATGGCCCTTGCGATCTAAAGGAATCGTCCCGCGTACGTCCGCAGTGTTAGTTAGGGCCAGGTAGGGTAGGGTTATGAGCCAGTGGCCGAGCCAGTTGGGGCCTTGGTCCTTAGCCCTGTCAGCATGCTGCAAAAGGCGTCGACAGAGCATCCATCGCCCACCGCCTCGACAGCCAGGCTCATGAGGTGACGAGGCCGCCTTACCCGCCTGTTTTTTTTGGCCAGCAGCACCAGCAATACCAGCAGCAGTGGTAAGGAGCAGAAGCATCGACCTCGACTACGATCACGACCACAACCATAACCACAGCCACAACCACGAAGGGTACCGGGCATCGGGTCGCTGTGGTACGAGGCGACACGGCCAGTCAGTGATCGAGTCGCTCAAGTCCGGCAGAGCGACGGATGCTAGTCGTTCGCTTCGGCAAGGTACAAAGGTACAACACTTTTTTGTGTGGATCTGCTCTCGAGTCCCCCCCTTGCATCAGCCTCGCATGCACGTCGAACCCAAGTGCAACTGCTTCGCCGCCGCACGGGCAAGCTCACCACGGCCTGCTGGGACCGACAGACGACGGCGGTACAGCGTGGCCAGCCAACGGGCCATGTCTAGTCGAGGTGCAGACATGGTGACACGTGAAAAAGGGCGTGTCGCGGCGTGCAGAGTCGGAGTCGGATGTGCAGCACTTGTTCGCACGCCTGGCTTACTCTGCCTGCTCGTCGTCTACACTAGAGTGAGCGTAGTATGACTGCGGGCTGCAAGTCTGACGGGCGGACACGACGGGGGCCTGGACGGCTTGCATGCCATAGGCGGGCTTCAGGGATCTGCAGACCAGATGGTCCTTGTCGCCGCTGGCTCACTAATTGCTGCTGTAAGTAAGTAAACCCCAGCCCAGGTGCTTGCTGCTGCTGCTGCTGCCAGGCCAGGCCAGGCCCGCTAGCATGCCGTCCGTCCTGTGCCTTACTCTCTCCATACTTACTCGCTCTTGCTTGCTACCTACTTTACTTGCCTTACTTACTACTTACTACTACTACTACTACTACCGGCCTTCCCAGCCAACCCCTCCGACCATCTAGCCGCGACGCAATCGTGACTTTGTCTCGAATCCCGCTCTCCTGCATTTCCCCCTCCCACCCCACCACACCATCACCCCCCTCCGAGCATTCTGCTGGCTGCGCCTGCTCATCATCCCCACTCCCAGCCCTTCCTATTGCTGTCCGTCTTCTGCGGCTCCCGTGCCTGTGTGTGTGCGCTGCGACCCGGTCCCCGTCGACGAGGGGCTGTTACTAGTAGCTGTACCCTCCCCGCCACCTGAGGCATCCGACCACGCGCCTTATCACACTCACCACCCACCCAAACTCCGAGCATCCGTGCTTGCTCAACCTCCACCACACGCCTGGTCCGTCCACCCTCGACCCGTCCATAACAAATCCACGCCGCGACCCACTATATCCTGTTAACCACACTTGTGCACCGCTGTTTCTTTGTCTTCGCTCGCTGGAGGCAGCGCCCGGATGTTGTTGCAACGCCGCTCTTCATTCGTCATCATCCCGTTTCAGCCTTCTGCCGCCCGCTTCAGGAACGCCCGGCACTGTTCCTCTGATCGCGCCGCTCAAAGCGTCCTGCTTGCGTCCTGCCTTCTGCGCTTACGTTAACCTTGCACTCTGCCCCCCATCGCCTGCGCCCGTCGTAAGCGTCTTCTCATTGTGCACATCGCGACGTAACACGCGCCCCGTTCCTATAGACGTGCGCACCGCACATTGCACCACACGCGACAAGAGGAGGATAGTCCAGGCTGCTAAGCCACCATCTTCTCCACCATGTCTAGCTTTCAAGCAGTCAACACTACCCTGCCGGTCCCGGAGCCGCCACAAGGGCGTCCAGGCGACGAGACAACTCCCACAACTCCCCGCCCAAATAACAGGTTCTTTGCAGACCCAAAGCCCGCGGAAGATGTCCGGGCAGAAGATCCGGCCGCAAAGACACCCACACGCAATACATTTGCAGGACTTGCTGGCCAGCGCCCACTGCCATCGTCTCCCTTTACCCCCGCCCGCGAATTGAGCGAAACACCGTCAGCTTCGAACAAGAGCGAGCAGAGTAGAGAAGATGCACAGAAAGCCACACAACAAGACGTACAGATGGGCGACGGCGACGATGACAAGGACGGATCCGACAACGAGAGCGTCACAAGCGACTCAAACCGGCCGTCCAAGAAGAAGAAGGGACAGCGCTTCTTCTGCACAGACTTCCCGCCCTGCAACTTGAGCTTCACCCGGAGCGAACATTTGGCACGGCACATTCGGTACGTGCTCTGCTGTTCGACTTGTCTTACTTTCCTAACGTGCTTCTCAGTAAACATACGGGTGAACGGCCCTTCCAATGCCACTGCTCCAGACGCTTCTCTCGTCTCGACAATCTGCGGCAACATGCACAAACTGTCCATGTAAATGAAGACATCCCGTCCGAATCCCTCGCCGCAACAGGCACGAGGTTTCAACGCCAAATACGAACTGACCGCGTACGCCCACCTGGGAACCGCTCTCGTGCAAATACACTGGGCAGCACAGGCGGACACAGTCGTGGCCACAGCAGGAATTTGTCAGCTTCCAGCATCACATCCACCATGTCAAGTGTGAGCGTAGCCCAATCACCAGATATTCGCCGCAGACCCCCACCTCTCGCCATGGCTAGTGATGGTGGTGCGAGTGCCAGAGCACGCCTGTCGCTCAACACGGCAAGTGCATATGATCCGCCTATGATGGGCAGTCCTGGGCCTGTTGAATATGACACACCCTCTAATGCACCTACAACGCCTACATCTGCTACCTTCTCCGCAGCCACTGGTAGCCCTGCTCACTTTGGATCAACTATGCAATCTCCTGCCACAAGCACTTCAAGACCAGTATCCTGGGCTGGACCACCGCCACCAGGACGTCGACAGTCTGTTTCGTCCAATGCAAACCCAAACCCCTTTGCTGGCCCTCCTGGACAAGGCCCTCCCACCTATATCACACCTCTGCAATCGACAGCCCCTCCTACATATTCCATACAAAGCAGCGCATACGCTAGTCCTACCGTCTCCAACTTCTCCGAGTCCAAAGGCGACTCTAACGCCGATGCAGACTGGAGGCGACGAACTTGGCACCCGGGAACCTATTCTGGCCCTCGGCCAGCGACGAGTGGATTGGGCTATCACCAAACACCTGATGCTCCACGACCATTGTACACCTCGCAGCCTGCTGCCTCACAGACTACCAGACTTCCGGGCATTGAGAGCTTTGATCATGCTCCGCCTCCGCCAACACTACCTCGACGTCAGCCAAGTCCGATGCAGGTGGATGCTCCTGGTCGCCCATTGACATACCATGCACCAAGGGAACCCCCGCCAAATCGGGGCCATCACAAGCGAACAAGCATTTCATGGGAGATCGATCGACTGAACATCGCCGGCCCGGGTTCGCAAAGAGAGCAATGGTCGCAACAGTATCCCGGCAGTGCAGGCCGGACAAGTACCGCAAGGCCAACGACAGCCCCGCACGGTTACTTCAGTCGACAGCCGGCCAACCTTCAGCCTATCCAGATCCCGTCAATAAACTCGTCACCACGGACGTCCCAGGAGCAGCCCGAGACTCCACGAAAGAGCAAACGACAAGCTTGGTACAATGGGCCCATGAGTCAACCACAGCGGGCAATGCAGCGCACATCACCTGAGGATTCTAGCAGTAGTGAGGGAGTGCCGACGCCAGGGACCATGATCGACTACCACCCCGCTATTGTCCATAGCAACGGGTACGTGGAGGCGCCAGTTGTTGTTGAAGATCACAAGTCCACGCCCGCGACATCCATCATGGAAAGGCCCCATCCTTTACACTCACAGCCACATCAGCACTACCATAGCCATAGTCTTTCGAGTTCTAGCTCAGGCTATCATCCACAGCGTGAGCCTTCCGAGCGGGGACCCGTGACGTTCGGTCCATCGCCCGCCCAGCCGAACAACAATAACAACAGCAACAACGACATGAGGCGACTGGAAGCGCTCGTTGCCGTGGCTACAGGGGAACAGCAAGCCGTGGAGCACCGACACTGAAAGTTTACAGTAGATTGATTTCGGCAAATTCACCTTGTTCTTTTGCCTCTAGTTGCTATTTGTCACGTCACAGACATCTACATCCACCCAAACCCTTTTTTTTTCCAGGGCCAAGACAACGTCGCCGTCATGATCATGATGATCTCCCCGCCAGATAACGCTTACGATGTTTTAACGACCAAACGCAAAAAGAAAAAGATAACATGACGAATCTCTCTCTCTCTCTCTACCTACCTACCTATCTATCTTTCTTCATGATTGAAACGTTCAAATCTTTTACATGACATGAGGAAGTTCACGGTCTTGCTCCCATATAGCATTTCTACTGCAAACTAACGTTTATCTCTCCTCATCCTCCTCTTTCTCTATTTTCCGGGTGTTTTTGAGAAATCTTTTTCGGTTCCTTTGCTTTCCAATTTTTTTTTAGCCGATATGGATCCCTTATGTCCTCTCTTCGTTCCGGGTTCCTCCTGGTTCGAGAATTCCATCATCTATCATATCTACCTTTGCTTAACGATTCTTGAGTTGGTTGCAAAACCCCTTGTGTTGGCCTCGAATATTCCTTGGGATACCCCGATCCGGCATTTTCTTCTTCTTTTCTTCCCTTGTATAGTCCTCATTTTTTTTATTGTTTTTTTTGGCAGATTTTCTAGTTATAGCGATTTGTTTGGGTCGGTGTTAGGGATTATACCAAATCGTACACCAGCGGGAGTTTTTGTTTTTGTTTTGTTTTTCTGAAATTTATTGATGGGATGTATTGTCTTGCGCATTTTTTCTTACAATGGTTCAGTTGTGTCCTCTTTTTTTTGCCTATATTCTCGGGCTGTTTTGTTGGGTTGGGAACTTGGGAGGGGAGGGGGAGGCTGGGATATATTGGATTGGAAAGTGGAGGGAATTGAAATACTTGGACCTACTCGCCCCACGTGCC